AAATCCCAGTAAGGGTATGGCTGGCTGATGAGAGCTAAATAGCTTGAAATAGATCTATACTAGTCTCCCTTTATTTATTTATCAGCACAAATAAAACACACACACATATATATGTATGTATGTATGTATGTATGTATGTATGTATGTATGTATATATTTAGTGTCACAACCCCTGGTATGCCCCAATTATGGGAGGAAGCTAACTGCTTCCATATCTGTCAATTGGCTCGTCAAGCCAAGGTGGCGCCCAGAATCATGTGATCACAGACGCCATCTTGACTCTTTTGAACCTCGGCGTCCGCAGGATCAAACCAAGTTCTCTCCCCTTTCAAGGCGTTTGCCGGAACCTGAAGTCCATTGTGGTCCAAGTCGGGATTGCCGATTACTTTAAGGAACCAAATAGTTCGGAGGCCAAGAAAATGTTTGATGAAATGATCAACAAACTCCAGGTACGCGGGATTTCCCCTCCCCCACCCCATTTTGACTTAAGGAGGGGAACGGCGGGTGTCCCCCTCATAACAGGCCTCCAGCCCTTCAGTCTCAGGGACTAGAAACTTAGGTAGTGCAACCTGACGGGGATGTGTGGAAAAGGAGCGAGAAGAGGCTGAGAAAAGACACGCTTGAGGGCAGATGTTGTATTTCCAGCTGCTAAATTCCAAAAGGGGCTTCACCGGGTCACTGAACTTGGTAGTTTTTTTCTTGCAGACGTTTCATGACCCAACTAGGTAACGTCATCAGTGCTCTGTGGATGGATGACGTTACCTAGTTTCTTAATGAAACGTCTGCAAGAAAACCACCCAGCTCAGAGATCTCCAAGGATCCCACAGTCCTCCTCCTCCTCCTCCTGCTTTCCACCTCCTCTCCTTCTCCTCTCCACAAACCTCACTCCCTTCTAGCACTGATGATGTTCCCTAGTTGGATCATGAAACGTTTGCAAGAAAACCACCAAGCTCAGAGAGCACCAAGGATCCCACAGTCCTCCTTTCCAGCAGACCAAGGGTCTCTAACCTTTGGCAACTTTCAGACTTGTGGACTTCAACTCCCAGAGTTCCTCAGCCAGCAAAGCTGGCTGAGGAACTCTGGGAGTTGAAGTCCACAAGTCTGAAAGTTGCCAAAGGTTAGAGACTCCGGCCAAAGACAACCTTCCCTTTACTTCCTCCTCTTTCTCCTCCTCCTCCTCTTTCTCCTCCTCCTCCTCTTCTCTCTACAGGCTTTGAAGAAGAGGCCGGGCTTCTCAAAAATTTTACACATTAAGGTGGAATCCGGTTGCTAACCTTGGTGAGGGACGAGCCCGACCGACCGTCGCTTAACATCCCGTTCCGAAAAGACTGTCCGGGATTCCGATGCCGGCTTCAGTTCCTCCTGAACTGGCTCCTTTTGCAAGGCCCATCCGAGGCCTCCTCATTTGGGAGCAGGTCTTGAGTTCCGGAAGAGATGGGGCTCCTTCTCGAGGCGGGAAGAGCCGAGGAACACCAGAGAGGCTGACGGTGCTACCGAAACTCACCCGAGAACTGAGAAGAAGATCCGTCCTCCCGTCATTCTCCTCGCCGTTTTTTTTCCCCTCGCTCCTCCGGCGGAGGCAGCTGCACGACCACCTGCCTCCCGCCGCCGCGTCGTTTCCGTTCTCCTCTCCCGCCTAAATTTGGGAGCGGTTTTCTGCCGGAAGGCCGAGAACTCAACCAGGGCCAGGATCGTGCAGGAAAAGTGGTTTTTGTAGTTCCTTACTTGGGCGGGGGGCGCGGCCCTCCTGCGTTGACGACAAACCATAGTTTCCTGCTGTCCGTCCCCCCCCCCAATTCAAAACTCCGCCACGGCTGGCCTCTGTCCTCTTGCTTGCTTTTCATATATTTTTTCCCCCCAAACCGGCATTTATTTTGGATTTATTTATGTATTTTAAGGATGGGTGAGCTTCTACGGTGTAAAGGGACATGGATCTAACCGCTGTCAGTTTTTTTTTATTATTATTATTATTTCGAAAGGATAAAGCAGCATTAATTAAGCAGAATTCCTCCACTCCAACATCTGGGCAGGTTGGATATCGCTCTCTGCAGCGTGGGAAATGTTGCGGGATACGGCTTAACGGAATCCACGTTTTTTCCTGCTCTCCAAAGGGAACATTCACACACGCGGACGTCCCTGCTTTTGAGCCGGAGTGCTCAACCCCTTCGTCGGTGTAAAAAAGCATTACGCATTCTGGTGGGCTCGTCTTATCTTCTATCAGCCGCTTCATCTTTTTTGATAGACTGTGATAAATTGGTCCCCCTCCCCATGGCAGCTCCAGCAAGGGACTCCTGTGAAATTTAAGACCGGGGACGCTGGAGGGGTGTTAGAAAAAAATGGCCTTCTCGGGTGTAGGCATCTCTCTGGAGTAAGGCTGGCTTTGTAAAGAGACACCAGATCCACCAACTTCCCATTTTTTTTATTTTTTTGGAGCTCTGTAAATTTATTATTCTGGACGAATCTTAGTCCGTTGCTGTGTTTGCTGGCTTCTGCCAACTGAAATAACGGCGTTGGAAGGGACCTTGGAGGTCTTCTAGTTCAACCTTTGAGGGATGTCGCCGATCAAGGAAGGCGGGATCGCTTCCCTCCCGTTTCCTTTACACAACATCGCTTTGATTTCTTGAAGGGGAGCGAGTTCGAAACTCACAGGGTTTGGTCTCACAAGGAGAAGCTTGCAAAAACAAGCCAGCTGTCAGGATGGGGAAGCTGACTTCTGGAAGGTGGTGGCTCCTACTCGGGAGTAGCACATCTTGCCCAGTGAGCTGGTTTCAAAGTTTCGAGCGGAAGCTTTTGCTCTAAATTTATTCTTTTACGAAGAGCCATTTTTTTGTGGGGGAAAGACTTGAAGGCCTTCGAAGAACTCTTTCCCAACCAAACTCCAGAATTGGGTCCGAAAATCCAGCTGTGCCAAGACATCTCAGGACTCTTGAAAACAAAGGAGGACGTCCGATCTGTTCGACGTCGACTCGTCACATCCGGAGCCTTGTTAAAAAGAGAGTGGGCTGCCCTATTCCTTGTGTGACTCACAACTTTCAAGAAACAACCGTCTCTTTTTTCAAAGCCAAAGCTGGCATCATCTCAGCCTTCTGCCTCGAGAATAAACGAGGCCAAGAAAACCGGGTTCTCAAGGCCCGGAGCTGATAGGAGAACTCCCTTGCAGCTTGGCTTTTGGGAGTGGCACACAAACACACACAACACATACAAAAAGACACAGCTCTGCTCACAAATGCTCCGAGTCCCATTGGACCCTTTGAATCTGGACGGTTGCCCAGGCTAAGGTTAGAGAATTGGAGGTGAGGTGCCCTGTGCCAAGGGCATACAGGTGCCAGAATCATCCCCCCCCCAAAAAAAGTCAAGATTGCGCCACTAAAGCCTTCTCACCAGGGCTTTGCTGGTGGAGCTGCCATCTTGTCTTTTTTGTACCCCTCCTAAGGTCTATTTTCAGGAGCCAACCCTAAATTGGTGTAGATCAGAGGCAGGTTTCTACCGGTAATTTGGCCCAGGTCGCAGAACCGGTAGCGTGCGCGAAGCGAACCGATACCAACGCCGGTAGGAACTCCTAGTTCCTGGCATAGATCTCTCGTTTTCACTTGTTGTCCTGTAAATAATCTGCCCGTTCAGGAGGGGGGTGGAGAAGTGTTTTTTTGCTTGTTCCATTAAACAGGTGAGACCGCTTAGCGCCCAAAATGATCAAGGCATCGTAGGAGACACAACAGCCGCCAACGGAGCTTGAAGTCCAGGCTTCGTTTGGACCGCAGGCCTCAAGTGGTTGAACGGTCATTCCCTTCTTCTCCAAGGACCGCGGGATACAGGGTTGGTTTGGACCAGAAGCTCAGCATCCTGGCCAAACAAAAATTTCTCAGGAGCCTTTGAAAGGAAACGATGACTGGCCTAACACTTCAGGTCCGTGTGGAGGGGAAACGGGGAGGGCCACGCCCACCAATTTTACGGTTTAAGAGGATCTTCAGACAGGAAAGAGAGACAACCCCTCCCCCACCAGCTGCAAATCAAGAGTTGGAGTTTTAAGTCCAGCTGCAAGCCGTCTCTTCTGGACCCCAAGACAGGCAGGGCCCCCCAATTGATCATCAAGTTAAAGTCAGAGGTGGGATTCAGCCGATTCGGACCGGTTCATACGTACCGGTAGTGGCGACCTGCGGTGCAGTCCTGTCCTACATCCCTGTGTTTTTGACGTTGCATGCATGTACGGATGGCACGGACGAGCGAATGCTCTTGTTTTGTGACGCCGCACACCAGAGGTGGGTTGTTACCGGTTCGCATTGGTTCAGGCGAACCAGTAGTGGAAATGGCGACTGGGTCATCAAACCAGTAGGAATGGTAGGCTCGCCACGCCCCCAAACCGGTTCCCCAGTCACCCATGCCATTGCCGGCATGTTTTTTAGCCATTTTATAATGTTCTTGCGCATGTGCAGAACAATTTATAGGCAACTGCACATGCGCAAGCGACGTGAGGCAGGGACATGAAGCGAAGTGGCTGTAACGCCGGCAGCAACCCACTCCTGCCGCACACATGCGCGGACGAGCGCATGCACGCTGACATTTCCAATGCTGGCCGAACCGGTAGTAACAGTAAGTGGATCCCACCTCTGGTTAAAGTGCTGGGGGTGCCCTGGGAGCAGACCAGTCCAGGTGCCCGTTTCCTGCATCCATGAGACGCACTCAGAAAATCAGAAGAACATCTGAAGATGTCTCCTTGAGGCATCCTCACGTGTTTGTGTCAGGCGCTACTGCAAGTGATTAAAGCTCCAGATCTGAGCTGCAAGCCTTGAGATGCCCACAAGGGGGCAGCAAAGAATGCAAATTATTCCGCACCGCTTTGCTGCCCCCTAGTGGTTTGTTTTGTTTTTAAAAGAAGTCCAGTCTCCTAGGATAGGCTTAGTCTTGATTACACCCCTGGAAGTGGAATGGAGAAACAGCCAGGGGGAAACCGGCCACTTCAGACCACAGGAGGAATTTCTTTAGATTATTATTATTATTTTTAAAAGGGGCAATTGCAAAATTCGTATATCTGGAAGCGGGTGGTGGTGGGAGGATTTGCACCCGGACTGGTCTCCTTCAAACCAGCCTGAGGAAGTTGTCCAGATCTCCTGTTTTGGAGGGATTTATTTATTTATTCGTTGCCCGAAAGAAAAATTAAGAGTAGGGTGCCAAGAACAGGCTAGCTTACAATTTCCCACGCTTGGCCATTTTAAAGAGCAGTGGACTTCAAATCCCGGAATTCTGGGGGATTCTGGGAGATGAAGTCCGTCCATGCACCTTAAAATTTGCCGGCTTTGTATTCCCAAATGCATAATTTGTTCAGCCTGTGGGCAGGTTTTCCTTCGCAGAGACGGTTTGGAAAAAAAGGATTGCAAACTTTGGATCTTTGTTTTAATTTTAGGCCTAGCTCCATAGAGGAGATTTAAGATTTTTAGTGAGAAAATCTGGGCCCAGCTCCGAAACGTGTCACAAATCCTCGTCCAGCATCAAAATGTGTTGATTTGCTAGCAGGCGAGTTTGAGGTTCCCCAGCCAGGATTCCATAAACAGATTTATAGATTAATAATTAGCATAATTATCACTTTAAGATGGCTGGACTTCAACTTGCAGAATTCCCCAGCCAGCCTAGCTGGCTGGGGAATTCTGCAAGTTGAAGTCCCGCCATCTTAAAATGACCCCATTTTTTTAAAAAAAAACACAACTATTCTAAAACCTTCATTAGTTGCTTTCACAATCCTCACGGACAAAGCTTTTAAAAGAGACCAGGGTTTTTAAACCTGGAATGTCAGGTTTGAAATAAAGCCACCTATCCCTGGCTTGTCTGCTAAAGCTAAGCCAGGATACAGATTTCCCTACTCAAAAAGCGTAATGTCAGAGTCGCAGAATCGTGCCGCACCGGCAGAGATTTGGGAGATATTTATCGGGCTGAAACGTTCTCTTATGCCCATACAGGTAGTCCTCGACTTACAACGGTTCATTTAGTAACCATCCAACCTTGCAAGCGAACCTGAAAAAAATAGGTGACGTAAATGACCATTTTTCATTCTTGCAACCAATTTAGCATCTCTGGAAGGGGGCGGGTTTCACATGATCAGAATTTGGATACTTCACAACTGGCTTCATATTTACGACGGATTCATATTTACGACGGCCGCAGTGTCAGATGATCGGACTTTCTGACAAGCAAAAATCAACGGGGGAGCCAGATCCATTTAGCAACCGTTAAATTGCTTGCTTCACAGCTGCACGATCCACTTAACAGCGTGTGGCAAGAAAGGTGGTGAAACGGGGCAAAAAAATTCAGTGGTCTCACTTAGCAACAGAAGGTTGTGGTCGTAGGTCGAGGACCACCTGTACTTGAGGGCAAGCTGACTTTAGTGGCCAAATAACAGGAATAATATTTCCCTCTTGGGTTTTTTTTCTTTCCCCCGGTGCATTATTCAGCCGGCCTCCAATCGGCTGCCTCCAGAACCTGTTGGGGCTTCACCCCCCATAATCCCCAGCCTCCCCTTTCACCCTGCTGCCTGGAGGATTCTGGGAGTTGAAGTCCAGACGAGGTTAACAGGTGTAAGTCTGCTTTCTTTGCAAAAGCAGAATATCAGCAGAGAACGCGCAGAATCGGCTCCAAAAGCGAAAGGGAAACTTTGATTGCAGAGCTGCCAAAATCCTTTTTTTTATTATTATTATTATTATTTTTGCCCCCCTCCATCAAATCATCAGCGTCAAAGCTCTTTAAAAATTAGTTTGCCGGAAAGAAATATTTTTGTACCTTCTGTTTGCACACTTGCACACGCTTCGACTTTCTTCTGTTGCGGGTGGGTGTGGAGCACAAGCAGCCGACGTTCTCCGAAGCTTCCTGGAGACGGATTGAAAAGGAGGCCACGCAGCTCCAGAATTCACCATGGACCGAGATGCCGGATGGTGCTGGGATGAGAACTCTTCCGGGGGGGTGGGAAAAAAAGGAGAAAAAAAATACAAGCCACCTTCCTGTTTGCACAAAAAGGTAGCCACGTTGTCGGACTACAGAAAGAGTCAAGGATGCCTCAAAAACCAGCAAAAAAATAAATAAATTAAATATTAAATTCAGAGTGCAAAAAGATATATATATATATATAAATATATATATGGATATTAACCAGGGAGACGGGAAAGCCATCTTCTTGAGTTTTCACCTTTTGATATTTGCAAACCAACCTCGTTTCGGACCACGAGCATTCATCGCCGCGAGCCAAACTTTCCCGAAACCGCAGGACAATTCCAACAAAACTTTTCCTTCCACGCGAGAAAGTGGCGGTTTGAAGGCGTTTCAAAGCAGCAGACCAAAACCAGGAGAGGTTTTCCGAAAGCTTATTTATTCAAGCATGTGTCCTAAAAGCTTTGTCCTTAGTGAGGCGTTTCCTTTAAGGGCAGGGGGGGGGGGTTGCAAAAGAAGATCGCTGGGGGTTCTTTTTGGGGAGTGGGTGGGATGGAATTCTGTTCGTTCCTCATTCATCTTTTCCAGAGCTGAAAGAGGTTGATTTCAAAGCCATCGCATCCGTCTGTTCATCCTGGCCCTCCTTCCAGTCTTTCAGCTGAAAAAAAAAAGACTGGATGCACAGAGAACCAAGAAGAAAGAAAGAAAAAGAAAGAAAGAAAGAAAGAAAGAAAGAAAGAAAGAAAGAAGAAGAAGGACAAGGATTTGAGCACCTTTATTTATTTATCTATTTATTTATTGGAGGGAGGGGGTTGAGGGGTTCATTGATTGCCTGGGCTCTGTAGAGAACCTCGCGGGGGTTCTGAAAATTTTTGAAAGAACGGGGCAGGGGAGAACCCCCTGATTAATCCAGGGGTGTCCCCCAGGGAACTGTGAATCGAGCGGGATGGTGTACCCCCCTCTTTCTCCCAGCCAGGGAGGTGGTGGGATTCAGCCCAGGAAAAATTGGGCAGGGGTGGGGGGGGGGGAAATGGGGTCACGTCCCAGGCGAGATGGGACATTCAATGCCAGGCCATTTCCCAAACAGAAACCTTTGGGAGAA